AAAGAGTGAAATCATCGCAGGCGTGGTGGGTGCAGAGAGTGGGCAGCCTCCGAAGTGTAGTTCCTACAAGCCCAAAGCACTATTGATGCGTTGAATCTCCTGATGGTCGACATATTGAGGCAATCCACAGGTAGCACAGGCATGGTATGCACATCAGCCAGGCTATAACCGACTTCGAAATCCCCTGCGCCTCCCAGGGCAATGCTTGAGCAAGAGCCGCTAGACCCATTTGGCACATCCGAACCGCAATCTCATAACCTGCTGGCGCTTCTCGCAGGTGTAGCAGAGTTTTTCCAGCATTTCAAGCTCCTCAATTACACGGAAGCAGCTCATGCGCGAGCCTTGCTTGGTCCACTCGCCCGGATGCCAGGTCTAAAAGGGAACAAACGATTGTAAAATGCGGCCCTGCGCGACACTTTGCTCCCCTGGTCTTGTACAACTAGCCGTAACTATAGCCTGATCGTGTGACAAAAGACCCAGAACAGCAGCGATGTGTGCAACCAAGCAGCAATAGAAAAGCACGAAAAGCACCTCGGAACTTCGCCAACAGTGCCACGAGACTCCATCCGTCTCCAAGCCCAGCATAAGCATGTTCAAGAAGACCTGAGCTGAGTTGCTGTCACACAGCGCTTGCATGTCACAGCCTTTTGCAGTAAGAGATACGCTGCTGAAGTGACTCGAACTTCTGGCGCAATTAAGCCTCTTCGTGCAATCTACAGGTGGTCTTTCCATACCGGGCAAGACAGAGTGCGCGTGGTTTCTAACTACATGGTGACTACATGGCTCCGGTCATCTGCGGGCTGTTTTCATCTATCAGGATGCAGCTCTTAAGGTGAAGCTGGCCTCATGACTTTTCGGATTCACGCACCCAACTTTGAATCGACCAGGGGACGATGCATCCCACTACGTTCTTCTGCAGGACGTAGGAGTCCTGCTCCAGGGCACGCAGCTGAGGCGCTGGGATGAGTGACGCTTGGGGTCTTGGGGTCTCGTGCCTGGGTCTCGGATGCATACGCCAGACTCGGTCGACGGATCGGGGAAGCTGAAACGGAAAGCAACTCTGCCCCCCACCTGGAAGACGAGCCCGGGGCCCCCGAATGACCGAATGGGCCGCTTGAATCTTCCATCGGCGGAAGGTTGTTAAAACCCAAGTTCCTAAGCTTTGCACATCTGATGTCCTGCATGAACAAATAGTTTCGACAGGCCCGAGGAAGGACAGGCGCGTCCTGCGAGGCTATTGTCCCAGGATTTGTGGGGCTGACTTGTAAAGCAGACCGTGAATGACCGTGACTGTCGAGGGGCTTCTGCGAGACCTCCGCAATGGGCTCTTTGAGTTTTCTGGCAGACATGCTAATTTGATCTCCCTTGCTACCGACGCTGCCTCAGATTTCGATTCTATCCTGCCAACGCTGAAACTGAAACACGTCGTTCTCGACTCACCCTGCCCTCCTCCCTGAGCTCAGCAACTTCCTCATCGCGGCCGAGAAGTGTAGAATAATGTTCCTGGCGATCGAAGAGCTGGTTCGCACGTAACACGCAGATCATCAGGAGTCTTTCCCGACATACTGTGAGCCGAGGGCAAGAGCCTGGCAAAGAAGCTACAGAAAGACACAGTTATTGTCATGAAGCTCGTGGCAACTGAGAGGTTGGTGAATATATTCCGAGAGATATCCTGGGATGGTTTCTGACCTTGATGGAACGTAGGAGACGCTGTCAGAAGGGCTCGGGTCAGCGGCCAAATGCTACATGCAAACCCCTGCTTAAGGCGGCATGTCGCAAACAACCCATGGGTTTTATCTGTTCCCTTGAAGGCATCCCAGGGCAGAGTCCTGCTGGCTTAGGACACGCTTCGCAGATCCCGCGCCTTCAGGGAGCTCCCCCCCCCGTAAAACGTCATGGACCTAAAAGGCGCTCCTGCCCTAGCAATGCCTATCAAGCGGGAGGCAGAGTCGTTGCGCGCTTGGGTTTTCAATGGCGCTGTGTTCCGCGATCGTACGTGAGCTAATCCCTTCCATGTGGGAGGTATCCTCAGCAGCGGAACGTTGTTGTGACGCCTGTAGGTTATGTAGTGTGGGGCAGCGCAAATCGAACAAAGCTGTTCGAGCCGTTGCGCCTGAGAGCGGTGTTAGCTCTTCCTGCGATTCAAGCGCCAGCAGCACCCGAGGCTCGATGAGTGGTTGTGGCTGACCTGTCCAGGCTCGACAGTCCGTACTTTCTGCGAGGATTCGGGCACGTGGTAGGATATGTAGAACCACCTCAGCATTTGCAACACGCATACCAGGTATGTATTACGGTATGTGCTTTTGCTGTCATCGGCGTGAGTGTGATGCTGCTGTCCTACGGCATGGGGACGCAATTTTGGTTGCATCCCTACAATCACCATTCAGTTTGAATATTCAGCCTGGGCACTTGCACGCTGTTTTATCCAGCTAATTGCTGCCGGGCCGATTTTCCTGTGCACTCTCATGTTATTTACGTCTAACGTGCTCCTAGGCTTGTTTTCGGTTCCCAACAGTGTCTGCCTTCCGTTTGACACTTTTGCTGAGCACCGTAATCGGTTTCAGGACATCGAGCGGTGCTTTCGGAAACAACAGCCGCGAAATAAGCATTCCTCTTTCAGTACCAGTGCGACATACAGCTGCTTGCCACGGCGGCTGTAGTGTTTCAAAAATCGTCTGCTCATAAGCAAGAACTGCAGCAGTGATGGAACGAGTAATCGGCACCATGCATAAGGAATGAAAAGAGCAGCTAGCCCAAGCACGGTAGCGAGGTTGATGATGCTGGGTGGATTTGTACTGTACCCGCGTTGATAACGAGATCACACCACCGAGCACAAGGGCCATACTGTACCATTCACGCTTGTTAAGCATTCGAACTGCGTCTGCTTTTCCAGTGTACCACGCGTGGCTCTCAGGGGTGAAAATGGTGTAATTGACAGCATCAGCACCTTTTCCATGACTGGGGCGTTGCCACAAAAACAAGCAAACACTTTGGACATACCTCTTCCAGTCACGACTAGTTTCTCTGCTTTCAACGTTACTCCCGGAACCTTCAACCAACAAGTGTTTCTGGATGTTCTTTGGGAATGCTCGCAATATGATCCTGAAGTAATGCTTTGTCTGATGCAACCACGCAAGATCCATAAGCCCGAGAACCCAAGATACCACAAAGTACACATGCCACACCTGAAAATCAGATCTAACAGTACCCTTTGATGGCGAAAGCCAGACAATAGCCCAACGTGTATTCCCAAAAGTTGCTGCCGCATGGTCTCCGGAGATACGCCACCGCGAGTAAGCCAATGCTCGAAAAGAGCTGTGATCGGCATCGCAGTAGCATGTTTTTGTTGTTGTTTTTTTGTTTTAAGTTTTCGGTCTTTCGGCATTTGAAATATAAGGTCTCCGTGATCTTTGCAATGAAAAGGTGTAGGAAATGCACTTCCCCACAAAGAAATTGCATATGTAAGGCCTGAAAAGAAAATACATAAGACACGTAGTCTGTAAATCAAAAGCTGAATTTATATTGGTTGTGGAAGAAACCCACCGTGTTGGACTACATCTTGCAATTGTGGTTTCTTTGTGCAGACCTACAAAAACCAGTCTGGCTAAAAAACTTCAGGACGAAAAAGTCAAGAAGAACAAGATCGCCAAGCATTCCCCCAAGAGTTCGCCGTTCGGTGCGACGACGCAGAAAACTTCATACTTAGATGCCTTGTATTGGAATCTAGCACGGAAAGTCATCCCCAATGTTGACATTTCTGGATGTCCGGATGGGCACAAGGAGTGGGTTGCCGAGTTGGCGGATTGTGCACTTGGTGATCATGTGAACAAGGCGCTTCATGACCTCAAGCTTCCAGCTCTTGATGCGCATTCGATGAAGTTGAACATCAAATTGATGCTCGACCATTTCGAGCACAAGGAGGGTGAGTGATACGATAGACCTGGATTGATGGTATGATCTTGGGCTGCTTTCGGCGGATGCTCGTTTTGCTGCCCGGCACAGTGAGACTGTTGCCATGTTTTCCAGGGCTTCTGCTCACGATTTCTCTCGACATCATCATCCAGTTTGTGGAGAGCATCAGTCCAATCCGTGGGCCAAGCAGCCTCGCTTTTGCTGTCATCGGTCCTACAGCATGGGGACGCAATTTTGGTTGGCCTTTCCTATGTTCGGTGTAAGTGAGATGTACCCCATCCCTACAATCACCATTCAGTTTGAATATTCAGCCTGGGCACTTGCACGCTGTTTTTTTTCCAGCTAATTGCTGCCGGGCCGATTTTCCTGTGCATTCTCATGTCATTTACTTCTAACGTGCTCCTAGGCCTGTTTTCGGCATTCCCAACAGTGTCTGCCTTGTGTTTGACACTTTTGCTCAGCACCGTAGTCGGTGGAGGCATGTAAACCAACTAGTGATGCCCTAAGTCCCTAAGTCATTGCACGGTGCTGAAAACAACAGCCACGATATCAACGGTTTGTGTTTCACCTCCGTGAGGAACAACTTCGAATACGGGACAGGACGAACAGAAACCAACCTGCTGCCACCAGCAGCTGATCAACAGAATATTTCCGGGCGGACAAAACCAATCATTTAGATTGCGGCTTTCATGTCTGCGAGTCTGCCGCACTGCCATGCCTGCGAGATGGCCACATATATGCGGAGAAAATGTGACCCGATCTGAAGCTGGCATGTCCTCACAGACTCAAACGCCCCCTACCTGGGGGACTCATGGCGGTGCCCCACCCAGGCCCGACACTGGAGCCGAGCGCACCGCGGAAGGCAATCCGATTACCCAGCAGGGTAGCTAACAAGCATCATTTAAGGTGTGGGATTGCTTCGGGCTGAAGCCTTCGGCAGGGCCTTCCAGCACGGGGTTCAGTCGCAGTGATCAGCAGTGGACCCACTGTTCCAGATAGAAAGTGCTACTGTAGGTGCTGCATGCATTTCAGGCTCGGGGACTCATGTCTTAGATCTCCGGAATGTTGCCAACCCACGTGCCGTGCGCCTGGGCACCTTGCAGCTCTTTCGGCAAAAGCTGCCTGAGCTTTTGCCGAAGAGCACCCATTGTTGCACCTTGGGGTGCATAGGAAGCACCTGGGGACCAGCAGCTATGGAACACGAATTTCAGACTTTCTCGAGCCCTCAATCAACATAGCATCAGAAAGTCGCCTCAACAACCTTGCATAAGTTAAGCCTCCTTGGCAGCTAAGACACCTGGAGCGCTACTGGCCGGAGTGTCCTTGGATAGGGCAAGGGGAAGCTCCGGGAAGCTGTTGAATGACGTAAAGTTTTGCATCCTTCTCAGCGACAAAGGCACGAAGAACTCGGGTTTATATACGAAGCAGGCAGCTTGAGGCCCTAGAAATGAGGCCCTGGACAAGGAAGGCGCTTTGGGATCGCTCCTTTACGGGCCAAGGCTCTGGGACGCGCTGATTGGACGAGGCGGCGCTCGAGGTCCTGGAAGCAGAAGCTGGGACAAAAGCAGGCCGCGCTGAGGCGCTGAGCTGAGTTCTCTGAGGGACGTTGCTTCGGGTTTCCCTCGGAAGAACTTTGGGCACGTCCAAAGCCTCCACTGAAGTGTTGCAAGCAGGCCGCAAGAAACACAAGTTTATACTTCATCAAGTTGCGGAACAGTCGCATGACACCAGGGAAGTTGAAGGTAGTCTCGCGTTTCACATTGTGCCCGAGTGCTTGGCACGGCGACCGACTCTTCACACATCTTTCCACTGAGACGTTGGGAGGTACCATTCGGCGACTTAGGCCTAAATCTTGTAATCTGTAAGAGCTGCATCTGCCGCTCTGTGATTGTGGCAAACCTATGTCTCGTGCCCTGAAATCTCAAGCAGCTGTTGCTGAGGGGTGAGGCCATGACAGATCAAGCGGCATCTCCGCCTTTCGGGCCTCACAGTGGTTGTTAGGCTCGGGATGAGTCGATGTGAACACATCGTTGGGTTTAGCAGACGGCAAGTAACAGGCACGGCCAGACACTCATCCGGGACACTTTTACTGAAGACCTGCACAGTGGCAAATGCTACAAACTTCGCAGTCGGAAGCCTGATCATGGACTGCCCCAGCTTCGCCCTTGCTTGCGTGTCAATCTCTCGGAATCTGTTGGCTCTTCGCGCAGCCTTGGAAAGACCGGTGCCCAGCCCGGCCGCAGCATCGCCCGGAGGCGGCACCTTCTTGGGGGCTGTTTGAAAACACAAACTGCCGGCCATGCTGGCAACACTATTCAAATGCTTATCTCTTGGACCGCAAATTCTCATTGCCATGCAAAAGAACTCGAAATGAAACGCTGTACACCTGAGGCGCTATATGGGGAACCTTGCACCCAGCTGGTCGCTTGAAACAAGTCAAGTACATGCCCCTAGAGTCTAACTCTGAGTCGTACTCGGTAGTTGTTCAGACAGCCAAGCTACCGGCCTCGCGCAACGAAACATGTATCCCCTTCTCCTGATCTAAGACTACAAGTGCATCACGTAGCAGCAGCATGTCGATGGTTATCGTCTCACATGTTCGACATTTACCCCTAGCACAGTTGACACCTAGTCACAAACATGCCAAACCCATAGGAATACTGAAAGCACTACTTTGAAGTTTCTTTCCGACCGTGTCTGAGAACAGTCGTCAAGGTGCACCTCTCGTGAAACACTGCGTTCGTAATTGTGTGTTTATTTAGAACCTGCCCTCTACGAACATCAGGCGGCCAGGCCGTGAAGCACTGTGGACTCCGCGGGCTATGCTGCCCGCTGCGGACACCGCAAGGAGCCGTTGCAGCAGAGGCCGCCGAGGGGCCTCGTCAAAGCAGTCAGGCAAGGCTTGGTGGGTTTGGACTCTTTGACACATGAGGCCTCTGTTGAACCTTGCGGTCGCATCCACACTGCAGGGGGTCTGGGAGTTGGCAATACCACGAACCCTGCAATTTCTGTTAACTCCAGCATTCCTCACAGTACCAGAATTTCAAATCTTTCATGTACCCTGAACGCCAAACCCCTAAACCCTTGATTGTACCAAAAACCTAAATCGAAGGTTGAGGTGGCTCATTCAACGAGACATGCCAAAGTTCACAGCAGCACAACAGCGGAACATGGCTAGAAGCAAGCCCCCAGAGTCTGCTCAGTCCTCAGCAAACAAACGGACAAACAAACGACAGATGCGTACGCACGCACACACATACACATATTATTAATGTATGTATGTATGGATGGATGGATGGATGGATGTACGTATATACATATACATATACATACATATATATATATATATATTAATATATAATTAGTTTTTGACTGGAAACTCAGCAAGGCCGTACTCCATCGAAGTCCTCTACCATACGACACACACACACACACAAAAGACGAATGGCCCCCATGAGGCCACGACTTTGCGCCCCTTTCGGATCCTCGGTAGCCTGACAAAAGCTTTCTGCCAAGCTCGAGATTCAGAACTGCAAAATTTTGAGCGAACCCAATGCTTACAGTCCTGAGGTCCTGAAGCATCGAACCGTGGGAGGAGCGGCCTCGCGACCCAAGTGCAGATTCCGTCTCCCTGCATGCGCATTGGCCAGCTTCCTGGCGGCAAGCAAGTGAAATCCCAAATTCCTCAGCGCCTGTACAAACAATCCCGCCCTTTCTCTATCTGGCTTTGGCAGACTAAGAAAGGGAAATGCCGCAGAGAGAAACAAACACCCTTCCCCTGCACACTCCGTGGAGCCGGGTCTCTGTTGCGGACGAGCTGACTGTGCACCCAGAGGTTGTTTCGCCTTGGTATCCGGAGACTGCGACTCCTTCAGCCAACCTGTTACCGGTTGGCACAGAGCTTGGCGATTGCAAGTTCACAACATGCATAAATAATCACAGTTTTCAATATGTGGTAGCAACAAATGTAAGCCGGGGTCGTGTCGGTCTTGTGATGTAACTCTCACTCGGTACATGGGAGATGTGACTCGCTTTGGTCGCTTGCTTATTCCACCAAACCTGCATTCTACCGGCTGTACATGCTTTCTGCATCTTTGAGCTTCGCTCCTATCAGCATCTTCGGCTTCCTTCATGTGTCTGCAGACAGCCGCGCAATAAAGGTACGTACCTCGCCTGCCCTGACTACACTCAGTAGCTACCTTAACTGATCCTGTGCGCACTATGTCCCGCAGGAATGCTGAAAGTGTATGAAATTGTCAAGGAACCCCCTACAGCGCTAGGGCCCCAACCCCGGCCAACACTTTGGCAGCCATCGGAGGACTGCGATACTGGCACGAGACCGTGAACGATGGAAAGGCGCATTTTGGGAGGCCGTCTAGTTGGACTGGATAGGACTTCGCCTGTGAGCATATGTTGGGGCCGATCATGCAAGATTCTTTCGTGTCCGACGGCTTTAATCGGGAATGTGCACGTGATGCTGAAGCACAACCGAAGCTACACTGAATTCTCGATCGTCTTGTTGACCGAAGGCTAAGGAGAATGGCAAGCCAGCTCCACGCTCGAGGACAGCAGGACCGGCCTCCCAAACGATGTAAGAGGCTTCGGTATCTAAAGAGTAGATTTAGTGCTTTCCCGACCCCTCAAGTTTTTCTCCCAGACCTTTGACTAATGATGGTGGGAGGCAGGAAGAAATCGACGTTGTGGCCCTGAGGGGCTCCTTGAGCCATTCTGTGCCCTCCTTGTCAAACACAGGGCTAACCCAAACCTTCCGCGTGTTCTTTGTTCTTTGATTTTGTTGCTGTGTCTGTTGCTTCGCCCAGACCCCAGGCTTCGAGCCGAGAATGTGGGTTTGGGTCGCAGGCCTTGTCTGGTAGTTGTTGTTTGGTTCTTCGGATAGATTTCACGCTGCACTGGATAGCGCTGGGGACGGTCTTCTTGTTGTTGCTGTTGGTGGTGTTGCTGTTGGTGTTGCTGTTGCTGTTGTTTACTGTTGCGGTTGCGGTTGCAGAAGTGGATGTGTTTGTAGGGCGGTTGTAGCGGTCTTGTCGTGGTGTTGTGTGGCGGTTGTTCTTGCTATTCCTTTGTTGTTTTGTCATTTGTTTGTCGTCGTCGACTTTGTTGCCGTAGTTGATGTCGATGTTGATTGCTGATGCTGATGCTGATGCTGATGCTGATGCTGATGCTGACGCTGATGCTGATGCTGATGCTGATGCTGATGCTGATGCGGATGCGGATGCGGATGCAGATGCGGATGCTGATGCTGTTGATGTTGCTGAGGCTGCTGCTTTTGCCGTGGCTGTCGT